ATTCATTTTCATTCATTTATTTCACGAAGTACACATTTTTATCAACATTATAATCACGCATCTATTAAAAGTCTAATTTTATATTTAAATCAAACAACGGCTATGTTATGTTCTTCTTTCACAGTTACATAACCATGTTCTATATGCGTGCAGTCATGAATAAGAGTAGACAGTATATGCTTTCAAATTTTTCTTTAAGTTGTTCAATTTTGTACGATCCACCTTACGAAATATGTCATAAAGAGATTATTTACTAAGAAGGTTGTACAAGAGAGTTTAGCGAATATTTCGGACTGAATGAACTATTTGAGACAGATGTGTAGACTTCTCGACCCGCCTAACTAGCTTTATGTGGGTTAGGAGTGAGGGTTGACACTAATTGATTTAATTAGCTCTTGTTTCGTACACGTTTTATAGAATTTATTTTTCTTCAAACTCATTTTAAATTATCCATTCTATAATAAAATAATTTCCACATGGACTCGTAATTCTTTTCGACTTTTTAATTAAATATTCTTAAAAAATGTATTTTTTTTTTTTTTACAAAATTTATGCCAATAAAATTTACGTCAAACATGCTCTTATAATTATTTATTTGTTAAAAGGTTGAATTTGAACTATAACTAGTAATGATAATTTATCAAAGGCAAGAGTATTTAAACATGCAAATAGAAAGTTCCTTTTAATATTCTCACAAGGTCGCACCCAACTTGCCTAGGCAATTTAGTCAAGAAGTTTACCTAAGTTGTAAATTAATTAATAGAGGTCAAAAGGGTTGATGCACGAGGAACATGCAGCACATAGGAGGTCACGTGAATTGAATTAAATTCTGACTAACCCAAGAAAAAAACCCATCTCAATTAAATTCCATGTCTTAGATTTCGATGTCGTTTAAGAAATACTTTCAAACAAAGTGGCCACTGGCCAAGATGCACTTTTGATACTGTAATTGTTGACTTGTAGGGTATTTGTACGTATGAATATAGATACACTTTGAGATTGTCTGGTGTTTTTATTAATAAATGAAAAAAAAAAAAAAAACACAATATATGCATAGGAGGGACTCGACGTGATCTTCAAAGAAATGAGAAAAAAAAATTACATCATCGCAAGACACAAAGTACAATGCAGGAGTTATATATTTAACATGAACTGCTACGATGTAATTTGATTGACATGATCAATCCAAACAACAATTGTACAACCTTCCAAGATTAAGTTCCCGTTTGATTTAGCAAAAAATCATATTTTTGGTAAATTTTGATAAAAAAATTGATGAAATTTATGGTTGAAAAGTCAATAAAAAATTGTGGGTTTCAAAAATTGAGGACCAAACAGGGGCTAAAGCATTTCTACTGACTTTCAACCAATTTATGAGAACTCTTGATTTTAAACATTTTTCTGAGTGCCGTAGTTTTGCATCGCTTCTTAGAATTCACTTTTTATTACACTCAAAATCCAATACGATGTGTTACTAATATGTGTTGTTTCAACTAAATGTGTCTTAAGATTCACGTCATAAGGTGTGACGAAATTTTATACTGATTGTCAACATTTCACAACTCTCTTCACCGCACTCCAAATTAAGTGTGCAGAATTGAGCAGGTATCATTAATTATGTATTCCACATCATGTGTTTAAACCAGAAATTTGCACTATTTTTTCATGCCAATGGCATGAGAAAATTGATATCATTAATGTCATTCAAGTAAGTGGCGATGAATGTTCAATCACTTGCTATTTACCGGTCACGTATGGCACACACCTTTCCTTCCTTTTCAGCAAGTTCAAAGTCGAAACAATATTAAATTGAAAAAAAAAAAAAATTCTATTTCACAAATTACTTTAAATAGATGCAACTTACTTAAGATATACGAATTTTTGATCGCTAAAAGTCACCAGAGGCGGAGATTTCTATGAACGAAAAATGATCGGTCGATAAAAAATATTGTAGAGAACTCGAACTCAAGCTCAAGCTCTATGCAAGAAGTTGAGTTCGATATGAAATCGACAATACTATTTGTAGTACATGAAAAATCGAAATATGATAGCAGGAGTTTTCTTTTAACAAATCTTCAAGTTTTTTTATAAAATTATTTTTCAAATAAAAAAAATGAAAAAAAGTTATTCAGACCCGTGAAATCTCGAATTCCAGTTTTCTTTCCCACAGGGCAAACTACAGAAATAAGAAACAAAAGCAAAACTGCAGTGGACCCCATTTTCACACGCAAAACCGACACGTGCCTTCACCGACACAGTAACGCGGCTACACTGAAGGGACCCACATTCCTACGAGGATTTAAAAAAGCATCATTAATTTGTTGGGCTTATATCTGCATGTGACTCTCATCTCTCTGCTCTCCACCATTAATACTCTCTTACCTTCCTTAATTGCGTTTTATTGTATTAATAATAATATCAGACATATTATTATTTATTGACTTGTTTTTAAGGAAATATAACTCTTAGGTAAAAAAATTTCTCATGAATTTGATAGAAAATGTGACATGTTGCAATAACATTAACTTATTTTTCTTGGAATGTTGATCGAAAAATAAAATAAAATTGAAAAAGGGACAAATTTAAGAGAACGTTTGAGTTCCATTTTTACTGACGAATACATTTTGAAATTGTAGATTGAATGAGTACGTGTAGTTAAAAAATAAAGAAAAGTTTTGAATTTATGTATAATATTATTTTATTAAAAATAATGAGGAAGAGAGCGAAAGGGCATAATGAAACAAAAAGAAGTGAGAGAGGTGGTCACAGGCGGAAGTAAATAGTTACCATATTTATACACACAAAGACCGCCACGAGAAAAGACACCCCTCTTTCTTGCAAGTGTGTCAAATTCAGACCTTAAAAGCCTAGATAGGCTAGTACTTCCCAGGATTTTCTTGTTATGATTTGCACATTAAAATAGTCCCCACACTATTAAAGAGTAAAACAAGATTAAAATTTGTACTGATTTTTACAATATATTTGATTCGTTCACTAGACACTACTTAATTGATCGAGTCCCTATTTGGTGCATATTTTGAATCTAAGAATGTTTTTTTTTTTAAAGGTTGAACCCCAACCTTGAGGGTCCTCCACTGCCCCGCCCCTAGAGCATTGTGGATGAGGTAAATCGTGGGATGTGCCTCAACAGATCAAGGTACAAGAGCTGACATACCGGTGTCCATAAAGAATCGAATTCCATACCTTGTAAGAGGTCGGAATCAAACTCTCACATTGCGGCTACCAGCTCAGCTAAGACTGCCTCACTTCTATCCTTTGCACCACTGAGCTATGCTCTAGGGGTCCAAAACTGTATTTTTTTGTTTGATGTGAATGTGAATATGTGGTTGAAAAATAAAGAAAAGTTATTGATGTGATGAAAAATATTATTTTATTAAAAAATGTGTTATTCAAAATGAAAATGAAAAAAATAATACGACTCGAACATGGGCTGAATTAAATGAAAGTTGTCTAATTTTACACGTTCTATGTGCGCATTTGGATGATGCGTTCGAAAATGATAAATGCTCATATGAAGGAATACATTGATTGAATTACATTGCAGTCGTTGTCTCTGGATCAAGTTTAGGATAATCCATCTACGTCGGGGGAAAGAAAACTACTTCATGTATACTCTACTTCGACACATTTTCTTAAATACGACACATTTAAATTATATGATCGGATTTAAATTTTTAAAAAATGAAAAATATTTATTTAATCGAAACGCTTTCCTATGATTATTACCAAAAAAATGAATAATAGCGAACGAAATTAGAGAACAAAAGTATTCTATTTACCCAAAGCATACTTAAATTTACTTATAAGTAAACTCTTACCCTTAAGCAAACATCCTCCAAATTTATTAGCCATTCTGTTCTATCATATCATAAAATAAATACAAGTCTAAGCTATCACCGACTCTAGATGGAGTGCAATTCTCATTAATACGGTGATTAATTACGTGGTGCTTAAAGTAAAAGAAGAATTACAGCTGGGACTGAACTCTTCTTGGTGCATGTTTAACGATGTTCTTAGGAGTAAAATAATCAGATTAATTACTCACAGATAATTTAATTAATCCCAAGATAGATATAAGTAAGAGATTGGATCCGCATTCTACAGTCCACACTGCTAAACACTACTTATGTATCTATATGACTATATCCTCTTTGCTGTTTTCTCTCTCTATTAATTTGAGTTGAAAGTAGAGAGAAAAAGGGAAGGAAGAGAGGAGAAGATTGTTACTCTGTGTGTGTGAAAGGGGAAGAAATAGCGAGAGCTTGAGAAAAGACAAATCTTGGGTCTGTGAAATTTGATGAAAATCCGAAGCTGAGTAGGCTGAAATTGAGGGATTACTGGGTTTCTTGATTTATTTGCATCTTTTAAGGTAAAACTGTCCTTCTAATTTTCGCAACTACCTCGCTTGTTGTTGTTTTGTGTTTTTTTGCTTGCTTTGGTCAAAGACTCAAAACATGAGTTTTTGGTGTTTCATATGTAATTGATCTAATTAGGTTTTCAATGTGTTCATATCTGGGCGGTGTTCTACTTTTTGTATTTGAGTATAATCTTAGTTCAATTCAATTTTGTTCCAACTCTTCTTGTTTTTGTTCTTACTCTTTTTTACTTGATGGGTAAGGTACGCATTTCTCATTTACATGAACTGGCAATTTGTTTTACTATAAATGAATCTAGTTGATTTACTGTTCTTGTTTTCTTAATTCAATTCTGCGTCTTCTATTTCATTTATAGTTCAGTTCACATGTGCAATAAAAAATCTCCGTCTTTAGGAGTGATATTCATATACTTGTTTTCTCAATCTCAACGTGTCAGTGTATTATTTGAGTTCAGTGGATCTAGAATGTGATTGGGAGAGGATCGTTCCTAGGCACCCTTTTGTTTTTTCATCATATTTAAGTTTTATCGATGTGATTGTTATAATTTCTGGATTTTCCATTTTGGTCTTTACTCCTGTATGATTTGTTATTCAGGTTGAAAAAATGTCGAGGCCACTTCATCGAGGTTCATCTGGGGGAGGCGTGCGAATCTTGAGAAACAGTAATGATTTCTGGGATGACTCGCAGATGAAAGAAAAAACAGAGAAGGAAGATGTGGATCGAAGTCGTACGAATGGTCCTCATAATACATATTTATCTATCAGATTCCCTTTTAGGTTTCTCTTCCTGGATAGTTTGTCTTCAAAACACAGTTTGAGTGACAATGGTTTCGTATCTGATCCCATCAGCCCTGGTAATCTAAGGAATCGGCATAAATTGTCACTTGCTTTACTCAAATTCAGTTTAATAGTTATTGTAATTCTTGCTCTGGCCGGATCCTTTTGGTGGACGATTTCCATATCATCGTCATCCAGAGGTCAAATATCTCGTGGATATAGGCGGCTTCAAGAGCAACTGGTTTCAGAGTTGCATGAGATCAGTGAGCTCTCTCAGGGTTCCTTGAGGTTGAGAGAATTGGAATACTGTTCTCAAGAGTCAGAAAACTTTGTACCATGCTTCAATGTTTCAGAAAATCTTGCTTCTGGCTTTTCTGAGGGTGAAGAGTACAACCGCCATTGTGCACATGGGTCAAGCCAACATTGCTTGGTTCTTCCTCCCATGAATTATAAGATTCCCCTTAGGTGGCCTAGTGGAAGAGATGTCATCTGGCTTGCCAACGTTAATATTACAGCACAGGAGGTGCTCTCCTCAGGAAGTTTGACCAAGAGGTGAATGGAAGAGCTAGTTTCAGCAGTCAAATAATAACATAGTGTTAAAAACTTAAATTTTATCTTTCCATGTGTTGCAAATACAGGATGATGATGTTAGATGAAGACCAGATCTCCTTTCGTTCAGGATATTCAACATTTGATGTCGAAGACTACACTCATCAAATTGCTGAAATGATTGGGCTAAGAAATGAATCCTACTTTATACAAGCTGGAGTAAGTGGATTTTGATTTGCAGAATTACTAAATCTGCTTTCTCAGCTTTGATTCATTTCCATCATTGTTTACCCATCCATTCTTTATTCCTGTTGGATCTAATGTTTTGATATCTCGTTAAAAAAAGGGACATTGATAAATGAAACGTAATGTGTGAGTCAAGTTGCCCCAACATTCTAAATCAATGTTTTATGTATATCACCAAATATATTTTGCACAATTTGACTTGCATTACATTCCATCAGCCCATCACATGTCTTAGATAGGAAGTTGCATTTGCACGAACTTGAGTTTGCAAAGTTTATTTTAGATGCTGCGGATATACTCTGCTAGGGTTTTTGAGTATTTAAGCCAAGACAGAAGGAAAATACATGGATTGTGGTATATTTAGATGAGTGATAAATAGGTATCGTTTGCTCAATTTCCGTTATCTATGTTTGCTAATGATTTTGTAATTTGGTTCATGTATATTAAGATTCAAGCGGTAGAACAAAATTTTATTGCTCATATTTTTGGATTTACTGCACCTTGTTAGTTTCTCAGAATATTCATATTTTTCGCAATCTACTGTATATTGTCATGTCTGCAATAAATTACAGTAATAATTGAAAATCATTTTTCTAATTCCATATTATAATTGTATGATGTTTTTATTCCATGTTCAGGTTCGAACTATCTTGGATATAGAATGTGGTTATGGCAGTTTTGGGGCACGTCTGTTTTCAAACCAACTATTGACCATGTGTATAGCAAACTATGAGACTTCTGGCAGTCAGGTTCAACTCACTCTTGAAAGAGGGCTCCCAGCAATGATTGGCTCATTTACTTCACAGCAATTACCATATCCATCCCTTTCTTTTGATATGGTACATTGTGCTCGATGCCGCGTTGACTGGGATAAAAAAGGTACACTTCATTCGTTTCATGCCATTATAGGGAGAAAGATTTTACAATAATCTTTATTCTTTGGTAAAAAGTGAAATTGTTTGTAGAAACTAGAAACAATTAGATGATGAAGAATCCACAATATTCATATGTGTCACATTTGGTGCATGTTTGACAAAGCTTAGATTTTTTAAGCTAGTCAAAATATAATTATTATCCACACATTTCCACTAGCTTTTCCAATAAATAGGAATTTGGCAGCATGTCTATTTCAGATATTGGACTCCACTTCCTTTCTCCTTCTCTCCTTGCTTGTGTAATACTCACAAACATTTACCTGTTGTCTCCTCTACAAACTCTAAAATGATGTAATAGTTCAATACAATTGAACTTGTAAACATAATGAGACAGATACTTAGGTTTCATGATTAAAGAATCAAACAGTGTGTGTGTGTTTTTTGAGGTTCCAGTCGCACTGGGAGGAGTTGGGGAAATGGAGGGCTACCTCTACTGTGTATCCCATGCATCAGGAGAAAATAATATAAAAGCTTGTATACACATACTTGGACCTGCTGTCTATTGAGCATCAACAAACCCCCAATCCACCCCTCCAAAAAAGAACTGTGCGGAAAAGGTATATTAATGTATTGAAGAGAGGTTTCTTTCATTTGATTCCAGTTTTTATGTAATATCCCTACATCAGCACAAGCGTCACACTTCATTCCAAGCAGCATTAGTTTCAAGGTTTGGCTGACTGCAGATGAATTTATCCTTAGTGTATATATACTTATGATATATATGCAAGCTTCGTTTTTTACCAGATTGAAATGCATACTTTGATTTTTTAGGTTTTCCATTTGTAATACAGATCTTTAAAACAGTATTAGATTTAGCATTATATTGGTAACTCTTGTAATTGTTCAGGGGATCCTATCAACTTGTTCTGAAATTGAAGATTTATAATCTTGCCATTTGTCTCTATTCATCTTGGTTGTTAATCTTTTATTCCAAGTAAGGAAGATCTGATCAGATATTTTCTGATCTAACTCATTCATTGTCAAGAAACTTTGTCAAAGAATACCACATTGTCAACTTAGCAGAAAGAAATATACCCTTTTCGAATGATATTTTTCTACAAAAGTTAGTCTCTATGCACTGTCGTCTTTAATTAAACCTGGACACTTGTTATTCTTCATGTTGAGAAACAAAATAAAAAATAAAAAAATAATTGAGCGAAGATTAATGTGAAAACCTGTGCACTGACCCTGGGTAGTTGTTATGAGACACAGTTGAGTTTACTCTGTTATACCCGTAGATTGCAGAATGTGGGATATTCTTTTAAAATCTGAAAGGTTATATAACTGCTATTTTTTTTGATCTGGAATGTTGGCTGAATATATAGTGCTTATCATGTGATACAGATGGCATATTTCTGGTTGAAGTTGATCGGTTATTGCGGCCTGGTGGATATTTTGTCTGGACTGATCCACTTACAAATTCTCAGCGCTCTCTCCGCAATAAAGAAAACCTGAAAAAATGGAATAAAGTGCATGGGTTTGCAGAAAATCTCTGTTGGGAAATGTTGCCACAACAAGATGAAACTGTAGTGTGGAGGAAGACTAGTAAGAAGAAATGTTATTCAGCGAGGTAAGGCAACCAGTGTGACACCTTTTTCTTCATTTCTATAGTTCCCATGTTACTATCTTTTTGGTTTCATATATATTCACCTGGTTTCATATGGGTAAGATAAAGATTTTGCTAATAGAAAACGTTTGTGTATGTTGACAATTCATGCAGGACTATTAATTTTTTCACTGCTCCAAGTGCAAAATTGTTGTTTTATCTCGAATGGAGCATGTTAATTTATAATGTGCATAAATCTATAACGTGCACAGCTAGTACATATATCAGTTGTACCTCATTCTAATGCTTGAATTACTTCTGTTTCTAGGAAACCTGGTTCCGGCCCTTCTCTCTGCAGCAAAGGCCACGACATTGAGTCCCCATACTATCGACCTCTTGAAGCATGTATTGCAGGCACTCAAAGTCGTCGATGGATTCCTATTGAAGACAGGAAAAAATGGCCTTCCCGGGCTAACTTGGATTCAAATGAACTTGCAATTCATGGTAATAGATCTAATTATTCAACACTTCCGCGTTATAATTTTCCCAAGGTTGAACACTTCAAATGTATTTCTACCCTTTTGTTTGTACATAAAAGTTAACGTCATAGTAATTATCTCACTGCATCAGGTCTTCATTCAGAAGCATTTGCTGAGGATACCATTAACTGGAAGTCAGCAGTCCACAATTATTGGTCTCTGCTCTCACCTCTAATATTTTCTGATCATCCAAAGAGACCTGGCGATGAGGATCCTTCTCCACCTTTCAACATGCTGAGAAATGTCCTAGACATGAATGCTCACTTTGGCGGTTTCAATGGGGCTTTATTGGAAGCTGGAAAATCTGTATGGGTCATGAACGTGGTTCCTACAAGGGGACATAACAACCTGCCTTTAATCCTCGACAGGGGATTTATAGGCGTGTTGCATGACTGGTAATTTTTACCTTCTATTTCATAGCATGAACAAGTTTCACTTAATTTTATCACTTACTTATCTATATTGATACTATCACTTTAACATAAATATTTTGTGCAAACTCTTGGATATTTGTTCCTTCCATCTTTACTATTGAATCTTCTTATACGATTCATTTTCTGGAATCTTGTCGCAGTTAATGCCCTGAGAAAGAAGTTTGTCCTGTCCACAACTTTTTTTCTGTGGAGACAAAATAACATATCCATTTAAGATAATAAAATATGTCATTTTCTACTTCTCATGCTGACTGTATATACATTTGGGATGATAAAACGTGTCATTTTTTACTTACCTACTAATTTGTCCTGGGAAAGCAATTGAAGAATATTTGGCATCCAGAAAACCTATAGATCCCAGTAATTTGCTCGTGATATATGGAAATAATATTGGTTCCCTTAGTCAAAAATTGAGTTCTATGGAGTACTGGATTAAACTGAAATTCAGTTGCTCTTTCTCTCATTTTCTGGGGTTCTTTTTTCTCAAATGTATATAATGCTTTTGCAATTCTCTAATATTGTTTTGTTTATATAACTTTTTCTCAGGTGTGAGCCATTCCCGTCCTATCCAAGAACATATGATCTGGTGCATGGTGAAGGACTTCTCTCTCTCGAATTTGGTGAGCAGCCCAGATGTCGCATGCGAGATATATTCACTGAGATAGATCGTTTACTTCGTCCAGAGGTATCCTTATGATTTGTTGTCGCTCTAAATTCTTATCTGGGTTTGCTGTTCCTTTACATGGCTTGACCCAAATATTTAAAACAGTCACTTTGGGACTACATAATCCTCTACAGTGCACGACTGCTGCTTTATTCCTACTATGTCTAGAAGACGTTCCATACATTGTCTTTGTTCTACTTAACCTTGAACCTTTAATTCAAAAGTTTTGACTTAATTCCCTAATATCATCAAGTAAAGCCATATCATCTCCTAATTAGGACTTTTGATTGTCCATAACTCATGAGCTTAATACATTTGTAGTTTGAATTCTGTTTGTCTCCTTTGTTCGTTTGAGTAGGCACTGTAGTACCCTTGCGTTATTCATATGTCCCGTTTAATAATTTTGTCTATCCATTGTCCTCGTATTTTGCTAATGGACGTGTATTTGTAGGGGTGGGTGATTCTAAGAGACAGTGCTGCTGTTATCGAGTTCGCAAGATCTCAGACAACAATTCTGAAATGGGATGCACGAGTAGTAGAGATTGAGGGCAATAGCCACGAGAAACTCCTAATCTGCCAGAAACCTTTCTTCAAAAGACAAGCTAGCTAATTCTCAAGATGTCCAGGAGCCGAACATTGTAGATGATAATATTCACATTCATTCTGAATCTACAGTTCCACAGAAACGGTGGATTGATTTTTTTTCAAACAGCAGGTAGCGGGGAGCAGAAAACACGAATGCTTGGGCAAAACACAACTCCTATGGAACCGTAAGGTATACATGGGGACATGTAATTACACAATTGAGGCAAAGGCAAGTGAAAGAAGTGTAGGATTATGCACAAGTTTCCTTGTGATGTCTCCTTATAAATGAAACAACCACATGATAAATTTAATTGTTAGGATATTACACACAATAAGCAAATTATAATCTGCTATAGTGTATAGAATGCACTTATATTTTTTTGGGACCTCTCTTTTTTCCCATTTTCTTGTTTTTCACCACCATCCTATCCCGCTACCTTTGCTACATAATTATCGAATTATATTTTCAGTATGTTGTGTTATGATACTTTTCTGCCTATCGTTTATTCTTGAGATCACTATCGCCTTTGGAATACGATTGCTGCTTGATTATACTATTTATCGTGATATGTTCACTCGTGAATTTTTGTGTATAAGAAGATGGAGAAAGATAAAAAGAGAGCACAAAATATATACTTTTGCAGTGTTAAAGGAGAATTGGTGGTCGAGTAATTTGTATTCAACCTCTACTTTATGGAATTTGGGTCCGTTAAAATTTGAAACACTATCGACTCATCGATATTTTGTTCTTATTGATTGTTAAAGAGACATATTTTTTGTATCAAAAGGACTTGTAGCGTTATTCCATATTTTAGAAGACAAATCTTGCCAACTCCAATGTGAGGGCGGTCGAATGTAGATCAAGGTGGTTTGAGTGAAAAACTTGCTACGTGAGGTCGAGAATTGAAGGGAAACAACTATGACAGATCGAACAGTGGAAGCAGAGAGGTGAGTTTTACTTTACTTTTCATTTTTCTTTATATTTCAAAGTCCAAACAGTTTGAGAGTTGAGGGAGTTACACTTGTCTTTATAAATTCAATACTCAATATGGACTCGAATTGTTTATGATAAGTTTGAAAGCTCAAGAACTTTGCAGACAAAAGTTAATTGGGGATGTAGTTGCAAAATTTCAAATTTTCAACAGAGAGGAGCTCTACTTTAATTTTGATTGTCAGAGTCATTTTTTTTGTATCAAAAGGACTTGTAGCGTTATTTTATATTTTAAAATACGAATCTTGCCACCTCTAATGTGAGGGCGATCGAATGTAGATCAGGGTGGTTTTGAGTGAAAGTCTTGTTACACATACGTCGAGAATAGGAGGAAGACAACCACAACAAGATAAAAAGGGGAAGCAGAGAAGTGAGTTTTTGCTTTACTTTCCTTCTTACTTCAATGTTGAAATAGTCGAGCGAGTGTTAGTGGTCTTTATAAATTCAATAACAAATAGGAACTCAAATTCTTTAAAATAAATTCGAAATCTTAAGGACTTTGCATCAAAAAGTAAATTGAGGACCTATTTGCCAAAATAGCAATAGGTAGGGAAGCTCTACTCTAATTTTGATAGATACGCATTAAATATTTAAGACGAGGGGGTTCGATAACTAAATTTATCCTTTAAAAGTCATGAGCAAGTCAGCTGATGACTTCACGGCTATTTTGGATGGTACAGGGGTTAAATTGTTAATTTCTTAAAAGCTGGGGTAAACACCTGATAAAAAAAATATCAAGGATATGTCTGCTACTTTACTAAAATGTAGAGGACTAATAGTGAAACTACACTTTTTAATCCCTAAACCTCCCCCTCATTTCCCGGATTCTACCAGATTAACCCCACCGCTCGCCACCGGCAATGGCGATTCTGCGCCTCATGCACAAAACAGCCACCACCATACTGAACTCGAGCAAACCCCACATTTTTTCCCCCTTTTCCAACTTCTCCACATCCTTTCTGATCACCAAAACCCCCAAGAAATTCAAGAAAAAACGCAAGAAAAAGGATAGTCCTCGCACGAACCTGGTCCAAACCCAACCAAATCTTGTACCCCACTTCGAAAACATCCTTCTCAGAGATGCCCACTTCAGATTCCTCACCAAAACTAAGGAATTCCTCTCTAAACAGCCGCAACATGTCCTACTCCTTGACGAAGCCGGCAAACTCCACCAGCAGCTCGGCTTTCCCCGCGGCCGGAAAATTATCAGGTCGATACAGCGCCACCCGTTAATTTTCCAAACCTACCGGCATACGGATAATAAAATGTGGTTCGGGTTTACTGATTTCATGGATGAATTGCTGCGCGAGGAACGGGGGATCATGAATGAGTTGGAGCGAGAAAGAGTTGATGTTGTGAGGAAATTATTGATGATGTCAGAGAATAAGAGGATACCTTTGAGTAAAATTTACCATAACAGGCTCTTGTTTGGGATCCCGGAGGATTTTAGAGACAGGGTAGCGAAGTACCCGAATTATTTTCGAGTAATAGTTGAGGAGGATGGGAAGAGAGTGCTCGAGCTAGTAAACTGGGATCCGACATTGGCGATTAGTGCATTGGAGAAGGAATTTTTGGTCGATGAGGACAAGGTGAAAAAAGCTTTTAAATTTCCTATGAAGTACGGTAAGGAATTGGAGTTGGACGTGGAGGGTGAGAGGAAGTTGAATATGTTGAACACGTTGCCTTTGGTGTCACCTTATTCGGATGGGAGAAAGTTGGATTTGTGGACGTTAGAAGCGGAAAAGTATAGGGTGGGAGTGATCCACGAGTTCTTGAGCTTGACGTTGGAGAAGAGAGCTTACATACATAACATTGTTGAATTCAAGGACGAGTTGTGTCTCACAAAACATACTTATCAGATGCTTTTGAAGCAACCTTGGACTTTTTACTTAGCTGGTACAGAGATGAATTGGTGTGTATTTTTGAAGGATGCTTATGGGGAAGATGGAGTGCTGATCAACAAAGATCCACAGCTTGAATTCAATGAGAAGCTTCATAAGTATGCAGAGATGCAAGAACTGGAATCTGATAAGTTATATCAGTAAGAAATGAGGGTATTTTAAGTGTCGTTGGATTCTAATCTCGGAGACTGAATTTGGAAGCAGATTTTGCAGAGGGCGCGGGAGATAGATCGAAGACAAGACAAATGTCAAATATATACAAACAATACAAGGTATTATTAAGGATCTTGGAGTTAATTATCATGCTTTGCTATTAATTGAGTGAGAATGTGTTGTTATTCTCGTGTTAAAGGAATAGAATTGCTGGGAAATTATTGTAACGGGCTTCTTGTGTCTTACTCTACTCTTCCATTCACTCTATTGTAGTGTTGTGAGTTATTTCTAGAGGAGGTAAGGCATTTTTAAGACCTGTTTTACCTGCTGTAAACTTGAAGCATATGATGTTCTGTTTTCTTCAAATGATGTCATTATCAATTTCCTTGGTGCAATGCCTCTATCTAGCTACCCTCCGATGGCTATTTACCAAAGTTGATATTATGCATTCTGAAAATGACAATTCGACAAGGTGGTTACCATAAGATACATTTTGAATAGTATTTTGTGTTTAATACAATGTTCCTTATTGATAATGGCATCAAGGTCGGACTTTGAATGTGACTTGTAGAGAGGTTTTTATAGCAAATTTTTGTTAGAACTAATCATGACCTGGGAATTCAATAGTCATGTTGTTAAAACCTTCCAAATGACATGATGATGAACTGAATGCTTATGGTTGTGACATCATGGTAACTAGGGACATCAAATGGAGTGGGAAATAGAAGACAATCCTTTTTGGATGGACCATCAAATGGAACAGTGAATTGTTAATTAAGTGTGTTTAATTGGTATAATTTTTCACCCGGAAAATTTTTAAATTTTATGTACGTTTGGCCTTCGTTTGCATCAAAATTGTCCATTAAAGTGATAATTTTTTTCACATTTGGTTATAAAATTGTTTTCATTGCCAAAATGTAAAAAAAAAANATGCAAGGTTTCTGGCGCGTAGAGGGAAAATTAAAGTGATATTTTTCATGCCAAATTATGGTCATCAAACACTACTAAACATGGAAAATGAAATTTGTATGCTATCAAACAGACCATAAGTTCTAACGGGAAGAATACACAACTGACTTTTCCATCAAAGAAGAGTGATGGTTAGAACGGTTTTTTGCTCCATGCCTGCTCTGGCGAGCAGCAGTCGCACTGCTCCCGTGCAGAGAGGAGGACAACGAGCCCCATCGACTGACCCTCTTCACTGCTTTTCCTCGGGTGCTCCGGATGCTATTCCCAAGTGCAGCTTTAGCAATGGCTTCCGTGCCTACCTTTCGAAGCTTGTTTGGATTTATAGGCTGCTTATTGAGGAAAACCAGTTTTGGGAGAAGACTGCATATGGCCTTGCGTAATTGATCATCACCGATATTGTTGTGAACAGGATTGCCTAATAGATTTAGAGCAACCAGAGAATTGCAGTTTGCCACAAGCTGACCAAATGCTTTTGTTGTGGTTATTTTGTTGAAGCTCAAGTCCAAGACAGTTAGCTTCAAAAGCCTATGCAGCCCCTCAACATTACTTATTTTGTTTCCAGCAAGATAGAGCTCTTTTATGAGCATACAATTCGACAAACCTGATATGTTTTAACCCGAAAAGCTCTATTAACAACACTGAAAATATTAATAGAAATGATATTTTCTTTGAACGCGTTTTCTGTAATTCTATGGAAAGGCTTGCAAAAGTCATTTACCTTGACCAATTCGAAAAATTCGGTTGTAACTGAGGTCAAGCACCCGGAGTCGAGTTAATTCTCTCAGACCTTCGATTGTGCTTATGTTGTTCTTGGACAGTTTAAGAATGTGGAGACCCTTTGGCAGAGATCCTTGAGTTATATGACCTGCAAATTGAGGGGGGAAATATTGAATGATCGGATAATTAATTTACATCCAAACATTGACGTTGCGCTAGAAATTGAACTGGCAATAACTGAGTGACACACACCTATGGAATTGGAAGACAAATTGACTGATCGAAGGCTAGAAAAATGCGAAATGGATGGTATAACTTTCAGTCCAATGCCTGTAATGTGTGCCACAGTCGATGAAGAATTCAGAGACTGGACAATGCTGTTGGCATACATAATCTCCTCGGGACTCCGATTTGCTGGTGACCTATTATTCTCAGGAGAGGGTGGGAAGAAAATGCTATCTTCAGTGTGATCACCACTGTCAACCATGAACGGAGGCTGCACCGAAATTTCTTTCACCCACTCATTGATTCTTTCAAATGGAGAAGATTCTGTAGGAAAAGCAACCCACTGGTTTTGAGGCCACATGCCGGAAACTCCATAAAATCCATCCCAGCATTTGTTATCTATGTTAAGGATGTCTTTACCCTTGCATTCCTTGGTAAACTTCGCTTTTCTTGGTTCAATGGTGTCTGAACAGTAGCCACCTTGTTGGTTGAGGGTGGGCTTGATTGCAACTGGCCGTGGTTTTGTAGTCCCGTCTCTATGCAGGTTCCTGTGGCTCCAGAGGAACAGTTTCCACCACAATTTTCGACTTCTGGAGGGAAGTATTTGGCTTGAAGAGTGCTTCTTCAACATTACTTTGTCCGCGCTACGTTGTGTCATAGCAGAAACTGGAGTGGGGGGATAATCTAGAACTTCGTCCTGGAACTTTTCTGCTAATCTTTGTATTTCCTCGAAAGACTTGGATTTCAAAGGAGGCATTTGTTCATCCACCGCGTAATTCACATTCCTTATCAACATGTCAGAGCACGAGCGCTTAAGCATTGGAGAAGCACAAAACTCCGCCTTCACAGTGCCGGGATCACTAATATGCCCACTTCTAATAATCTCAATACCAGCCTTAGAATCTTCATCTACCACCTTTTGGTACTCAATATCTATATTCATCCCTTCAGAAGTATGATATTTTTCTTCCTTCGGGTTTTCAACACGAGCTTGCAGATCAAAATCCGAGTTGTCCCTCTTCATCGACAAATTCTCATCATGCTCATCTCCCCCTTCGTAATGTATCTCCTCATCTTCACCTCCAACTGGACTCTCGTGATTCATAACCTTCACCGTGCACCTAGAACTCCTCGGAATATGGAGAGGAACCGGAACCCTAAAAGAAGTTGATTTCAACTCGGAATCTTGTGAAGTTTTCGTAACATGCTCGAGCTTCACTTGCAAGGTTTTGACTTCCTTTTCCTTCTACAAGCACAGATGCAATCGAGATCAAAACGTGCACATATATAGAAGAAATAACTAGGAAAGGGTTGAAATGATTCAAAGAAATGCACATAAATATGAATTGATCAGATCATTCTTACCTTATCTTTCTTTTTCCTCCATGAAGAACAAAAACAATTAAGAGAGGCCATTCTCAATATCGATGTCACTTCTGAATAACTTCAAATTCTATCCAAGAAAACAGGGCTCTTTGCAGATTATGGAGAGAACAATTTTAGAAAATGGAAATCTTAGCCATAATCAATAGGCAGTCGCCAAATCAATGACAGAGCAGAACCCGATGAATGCGAATATGTAGAATCGAGAAGTGAAATTTGGAGGTGGTGTTTTCTTGTTTCAGTCCCAGCCCATTTCAAGAAGCCGAACGATTATACTGGAAGAGGGTCACCCCAGAAGCTTCACCATATATATTCCTGCATATCCCATAAAGTTGTCAAAGATAAATTCAGAAGAAATGTAAACGTGCCTCTCTAACCTTAAAGAATTGAGTTAATGTAATAGAATAGGACAATTCTATGACAATTAGGACACATGGAATTATTTCTTATGATTTTATTTCTTGTTTAGGTGAAGACTTTTATGATTTTTGATTGCTTTTTTCTTTTAGCTTTTAATTACTTATCTTTTAAGCCACTGGAATTAGGTGATTAGATTTTGTAGTATTTTATCGATCAATTCATTACAATAAAATTATTTTCGAGAATCTTTTTTCAAGAACTCTAATTTCACTTCCGCAGTTACACGTAAAAGTTTTGAAAGTCGAATAATAAATGTGTATGAATATTGATAAGAAAGACCCATACGAAGAAAATTTGAGAAACACGTGCTTGGGGAGAAAAGGAAACCTGAATGGGTTTGAAAACACAAGAAATTTACTTCCTTGAACATAAAATCTAAACTTAAGGTAAATTAAGGAAAAACGTAGGAACATAGATCCTTAAAATCTGAAAAGACTGTAGGCAGATAAATAAACAATATTTTGAGCAGAAGTGTAAAAGAAAGTCACCCAATGATGATAAACTGTGCCAGGTTGAGAGTTGCTGAATTCAAATTCTTTTGAATTTGTGAAGTAGAATAGAAGGCAGATTTAGTATCTCTCAGATTGTGCTACTGTGCCTGTGAAGAAGTATAGAGAGAGGGAAGGTAAGTATCACTGGCGTGGGGAGTGAGGTATAGAAATAAGAATCAATATCCAGAAAGAGACATATATAATCCGCGGATGCAACGCGCAATGAGCCTTTCTCCTCTACATACCACACACACCATGCCTCAGCTCACGTCACCTCTTAATTAAATACTTATATACTGAGTTGATAATGAATGTATTCTATTATTGACTTGTAGTCCAAAGACCTCCCCACAATTCTTTATAATTTATAGCACATTGAGTAGGTTGAAAAAAAGCATACAATCTTGACAAGAACGACGTTAAGGAAATACGACTCTTGCTCCTTTAGGTTCTTTAGGTCCCAAGGGGAAGTTATAAAACACCTTTCCACACTTTATATTTGGAGTACTATTTAATTTTCTCTGCATTATAGGACTTTGGTGATATTTATCATATACTTCTGAGACTATTACTGATTGACTATTGCACAAAAAGGTCAGCAGAAGCAACTTTTCTTAGCTGACGAATTGTGCACGAATTCATACCGGATCGATCATTGTTTACCCACCACATATTGTCTAATAAAAAAAAAAGAGTGATACTTCTCAATAAAAGCGAGCTTTGCCAAACATCGTCAACGTGGATGTTGGACATACTTTTAAATGTTTATAAATTATGTATTAACTA